CCCTTTATAAGCTGTTGTCTCCTCACTGGAAAACAGTTCTGCAACCTAGAACACATCTTTGAAGCTAGGACCAGGCCAGGTGTACCTTCTCCTGAAATCTGAAGTTACAATTGCTAGAATTCACAGTGTAGAACCATGTTGTTAAACAAAATACCATTTTCTAAGAGTAGCACATCCTTTATAATTAAATAACACACCTAGTCCCTGCAAAGCCAAGACATAGCAGGTAAAAACAGAAGTCTCTTTCTACCTCAAAGCAACTTAACAAAATCCCAGTGCTTACGGGCCATACAATCTTAGCATGGGACTATACATCAAAGCTGAGATTCACCAACCCTATCCTGTGTTGACATACCTGTATGATCCTTTCTTTCCTCAGATGAAAGCAAGCTGACATTTGACATCCTTTGCTCCCTGGATTTAGAAGCAGTGTAAATTGCAACACTCAGCCTCCTTACATGGCTGCCTCATTGTTTCGGGGAAGAAACCTCTGTCCTTACACACATTCAGAGTTCTTGCACTTGAATGTTAGGTGCTCGTGGGCTTGTTGGTTTTGTTTGGGTTTTTTTCTTTTTCAGTCAAGTATTTCCCTTATTTTAAAATATTTTAATAAAGCTCCTAGTTACTGGAGACACTGAAATTATTTCCACTTACACTTGAGTATACTAACCCTGCAGATATTCTTGCCATTGTGTTCTCTACTTTCTAATCAGGGAAAGGGAAACAGAAGCTGAATATCAGGTACAGAGTTGTTCAGCTCTCACAGGTGCTAATCAGATTGTGGGTTTACTTCCATGTGATTTTGGAAGTAAATCTACAGGCACACAGAACTTTCCACTTCTGTAAATTTTACTGCTTCCTCCTAAGAGAAGCTGACACTTCGCATGTGGTTAAAACTATACAGCATTGTCATTTTTGCTACAAAATAACTGAAGATCTCATGACACGTTTACTCTAAGTGTATGCATTGTAAGGATGCATTTTAAACCTCCAGTGAATAAAACCTCTCCTCAGGACAGAGTATTTTTGAACAGTCATGTAAAATACACCTCTATAAAGAAATATACTTTATAAGAAATGTCCTAGAGTATTCTAGTATTTTAAGTATTTTAATAGGCAAACTAGTGTGTCTGTTTTTTGCTGAATGAAAAACTGCAAGTTTGGTGTTGCAGGCAGATAACAGAGGTTCTCTATTTGCTCAGGGCAAGAAGCCATGCTTTCTGATCGGCAAGATCAGGTTTTCGCTGTTTCCATTACATAGAATCGTAGAGTAGTTTGGGGTGGAAGGGACCTTTAAAGGTCACCTAGTCCAACCCCCCTGCAGTGAGCAGGGACATCTTCAACCAGATCAGGTTGCTCAGAGCCCCATCCAACCTGACAGACCACCCTGGTGTGCAGCACAGCAAAAGCACGAAAGCCTAGTGAGTCATGAACATGTTACACTATGGACTATTAAGAATGATGGTGCTGTATCCAAGTGCCTCTGCTTTTTATTTGTAAAAATGGAGATCATTCCTACCTGTAGGCCTGACTCTTGGTAAAGCAGAAAGGGACAGAGAAGCAAAATATTTTACAGAGCACAGATTTTGCAAGGCTTCTAACGTCTCAGTGCTTTTTTTCTGTCCTTTATGTAGCAGAAACTTAAGAGCTTTGTTTTCTGGGCATTTTCTCAGAGTCTTTTGCTCCTGAGTTACTTCTTGGTGATTCTTCTCTGTGAGATCCCTGTGCTGAGCTACAGACAAGACACTCTGATTCAAATGTTATTTGAGACCTCAGGAAAAGCAGCTGGGCAGGTGGAGCAAAGGAGGATAACCGAATGTGCTGGAAACTTCCAGCACTATTTTTTTAGGGGCACAAAAATTATACCAATGTTTTTCAGCCACTGCAATAAATATAACCGGGGAAGGGGGGACAGCAGAAGAATAAACAAACATAGACAAGGAAGCAAAATGTGGCAGCCAGTCCCTCGCCTGCCTGCAGCTCGGAGCCAGCAAAGCTCCGCAGCAGGGCTGGCCCTGGGCAGAGATGAGCACAAACTAGCTCACCAGCTGAGAAACGCAGACCCAGACTTCTCCTTCCTCTCTTCAACCCTTTCCCATTAGGCAAGAAGAGAGGCTCATTTCCCAGGCTAAAGAGAATAATCAGGTAACTATCAATAATATCTTCTTCTGCCAGCTAAGAATATCAAATCATTTCATGGTCATGAATTAATGCCTGCACAAGTCTGGTGAGGTAGAGACAGTCAGTGTCGTTAGCCTTGCTTTAAAGCACAGATTTTGAGGATGATCAGCTGGCTGCTAAAGCAGGCATTAGCTTTTCCTGCCCCCAGGTCCAGGGGGTAGGTGTTCTCCCAGGGACCTGCTGTACCTGCCTGCTACATGTCTAGCACTTCTTCACACCCTGCTCTTCAGAGACCCTTGTGTGCGCTGTGCTATCCCATCCTCCTTCTTCCCCTCCCCGTCCTTACCCACAAGAGGTTTCCCCATGGCCTCAGACAGAGCCCAGGCAAGGGCTGCCAGGATATCCTCGGCACTGCGCATTATTTGTTTCTCTCTGTGTCCATCAAATAAGGAGACAGATAAGCTTCTTCCCTCTCCCTCCCATCGCTCAGGGCTCCAGAGCGGTCACCCTCCGTGTATCCCGCTGCAAACACTGCTTCTGCTGCAAGGGTGAGGGGAGAGGGCCCTAATGCATCTCCCTCCGTGCTGCCACTGCCGTACTCACCATCTCATTGTAGGCATCTCTGCTGAGCCGAGGGGTCAGTTTGATGGTCCCCATAAAGACGAAGAAGAGTCCCAGGGCCACCGAGAGGGCGACGATGGTGATAGTCCTGGGAGATGCCATGGAGCCGCTGGGAGCCGGTCCTGGGAACCGGTCCTAGTGAGGCCTTCTCGCTCTGGCTGCCAGCCCGGGAGGGAGGTAGTCAGCCACCATTGAAGGAGACGAGGAATAAAGCGGCAGAGGCAGCGAGGATGACAGCGGGAGGGGGATTCAGCCTCCTCCACTCAGCAACCTCTGGGTCCTAATGCCCCGCAGCCAGAGCCCGGCAGCTCTAGCACCTGCTGGGCGATGAGCATTCCCACTGGTCCTACCACCAAGTCATCCTCTATTTCCTTGCACGTTCCATGAATTACCCACAGAAACCCCAAACTGAGCCCGTTCTAGGGATGCGGGATGGCAGCCAACCGCATGGCACGGTTGCTCACTAGTGGGAAAATGAGGTTAGCAGAGGGCACAGGAGTAACCTGCTATGGAGGAACAGTGGTCAGAGGTCTCTTGTACATTGGCAGCTTTCAGTTTCAGATGCTCAGACACTAATGCACAGCAAACAACATGTTAGTTAATATATTTGCCCCAGAACAGAAAAAAACATGTCTTGCCCCTGTGGCTCTCCTGGAACCTGACGCCCAAAAGGGATGGTGAGGCCACTGTGCCACCCTCCCCCATTGCAGATAAAACCTGTCCTGTATGTTCAACTCTCCAGAGACAAATGGAAAGGTTCCTGATCCTCTATTACTTTCTGATTTAAAGTCATTATCTCTCCCTCTCTAATTTGCAACAAATTTCGTTTTGACAAAAGTGTAGCCAGGCCATTCAGTGAGAAGCCAAGGTATAATTATACAAAACAGAACTGCTGTAAAACTGCATCCCTCAGTATAAACAAGAAACAGGAGGCTGTAACAGTGTGCAAAAATCTTACGCTTGTGTTATAGTACAAGAGTGACACTTCCAATGCCTGTCAGGAATCTCCCCATCACCTCCTTTTCTGGTATAGTAAGTCTCGAGTCCTAAGCCCCCATGGCATGAGAACTGATGGTTGTTCTTACTGTTACAAGCTCAGGGTTCCTTAGGACTGGAGTTAAAAGTCTGAAAAATACAGGCAGCTCTCCCTGTTTCCTTGGGAGTTTATCAGCCTTGGTTCACCCAAATCAGATAGGGAGCTCCTCTTTCAGAGGAAAGAGTAAAATTTAACAGGCTCACTGTAGTAACGTGTTCTGCTACTGGCCTGGCCTAGATGACCACGATAAACCAAAAAGTAACTTCAATACAACATATAAGTAAAAATAAAATAAAAAAAAAATTAAAGGAGTCCTCAAAGTGGGGTTCATAAAACATATGGCAACTCTGCTCACTCAGACCTACCTCCAGGTTGTAGCAGCTCCATCTTTTGAAGAGCTGGAGAGAACTTCATGTAACATTTGAGGTGCATAGCTTGCCAGTTAGTGAGCATGGCAGGACAGATATAAAACACACCAAATTTTTGAGCTAGGTATTGCAGAGCAACCTGATGAGGAAATAACTTGTCGCTGCTGACATTTTCACAGGGCACTTCATATTTAGGTATCGGCAAGCATTAGCAGAGAAGGGGGAGGCAGGTGTGGAAAGAGAGACACTGAAGTCTGTTCTCTCTTCATTTTATAGAAAAATCTTTCTCATTGCCTCCAACTTATCCACATGACTGACAGTTGTTCAATATTGGTTTTGGAAGTTTATACAGATAATATTTCCCTGACCCCAAAAGTCAACATTTTCCTAGTGAAGCATGAGGATTTCTTGTTCCTACGGTTTCTTCATAGCAAGTTCACTATCAACTTGAAAAACACCTGAAATATCCTTGAAGCAAGCAGAGAACTAATGGCATGGCAGTATTAGAAAATACAGTGGATTTTAGTGCTTCGTATTTGCATGTTGGTGGTGAAAACCCATAATACCAGTGAGAGAATATTTTCCAGGCTGCTTTAACCAGCAGCCCAAGAAGAGGTTTGCAGGGGAGGGAATGGTGATGAAATGCTACAGAGAACCTTTTCAACACAAAAATCCAAGTATTTCCTTACCAAACAGTGCAGTTAGGCAACCCAAAGTAAAAGCAAAAGCAAAATTATTTATTTTTATACATCTCTCAAGAAAATAAGTTAAAATCCTAACTACATTGACACCAGTCTTCAGGACAGAAGGAGGTTGCTTGTCAAGCTCTTGGAGCTGGCATACCTGCCTCCTTGTCAGCGGGTGAACAGCAGCACCAGCTCACAGTGAACAGTATGAGGGAACATGTCAAAAGGTATAGCCAATGTGGGGGCAAATGGCTCTCCCGCCAGCTTCTTCCCTGGGTCAGGAGGGCAGCACAGACTGTGGAAAGCAAAGAGAGCATCCTTTAGACCAGTAGCAGAAGCCTTCCTACCATTATTGGTAGCACAATAGCACAGCAGATGCATTAAGAAAGTATCACGTGTTTCGCTAACATCCCTCAGAGTCTGCAGCTGACACTGGCTGAGGTCTGGAACCACCAATACTGAATCCCAAACCAGCTCTGAAAATCTCATGGACAAGCTGAAGAGTCAGTGGCAGGTTTAAAGATCCCTTTCTCACAAGCCATTCCAGCTGAAAGACACTTAATAGCCATAGGAGATAATCTTCAGGTTTGCATTACCTTCATTGGTTACCTGCAGACAGATTTATCACCTGCAAACGGGACTGCCACAGAAAAAGGCTTAGCTATATGATTAACCCTAAGCAGGTAACTAATCCCGTTGGCTTCACTTTGTTGGCTAGGGGCCAACCTTCCTGCAGTGAACCCTGTGGACTCTGTATCCCACATCCAGATGTGCTGTTTTGTTGCGGAAGGATGCACAATGCCATTACAGCATGTTTGCATTATTTTCTATTCCTTTTCTGATGCACTAAAGCGGCCTGCTGGAACATGAAACCCAAAGAACACCCACTACCTTAAACAAGCAAGTGCAGCTTGCAGGTAAACCAAAAGTAATGCAGAAGCATAAACCACTTCTGACCAAGTACTGACTAGTCCTGGATTGCAACAAAAACCTTTCTAAGTCTCGGTCAGATATTTATGTCCTTGTCTGGACATAATAGGGTCTGTAACTAAGGTCAATGGAAAGGAGGGTGCTCACTCAAGAAAGTTCCTCATGGCTTCAGCCTCTGGCTTGCAGGAGATGTAGAGCAGCCTTCGGATGGACTTGCAGTTTCGGATGGCTCGCACAACCCTGTGATCTGCAAAAAGATACTGTGCTTCCCCAGTGACCCACTACCACCATGAGCTCTCCAGAAGGAATGATTGCACACCAAGTACCACAGAACTGCACTGAACTGTCAAAAATACAGGGAAAAAAGCATATATACATTTCACCATGTCCTGTCTCATATGCAGACTCTTGGGGAGGCCAGGGATGTGACCCACGCTGCTAACAGCTCAGCCAATTTGGCAGGGTAGAACAGTGGGAGAAATCCCTCTGTTTCCCAGGGGGATGAAGGATGAGAGAAAAATTGTTAATTAAGCAGAGGAACGTAAAGCCTTCCACACACACTTGTGAGACTGCATCTTGGCACCAGGACCAGTTTGGGATTTCCCAGTGCACAGTGCAGCAAGTCCAGCAGAGACTACTAAGACGGTTAGAGGGCTGGGGCACAGCATGTACCCAGAGAGTGTGAGGGGGGTTATTCAGCCTGGGGAAGAGAAGATGAACCAGGATCCATTTGCTATCTTCAGGGGCCTCATGGGGGATTACAGAGAAGATGGAGTCAGAATTTTCTCAGACAGGCATGAGAAGAGGATGAGAGGCAACAGATGTACTGCAGCAAGGCGAAATTCTGATTAAATACATTAGGGAAAACATTTTCAGGAGAGGGTATCCACCCTTGGACACATTCAAACCTCAGCTGGGCTTTATAGCTCTGTGCAACCTTATACAACTCTGAAGTTGGCCTTGCTTTACGTGGGAGATTGCACCACAGACCTGCAGAGGCTCCTTCTCTCCTAAATAATTCTGTAAGCCTATGAAAGATGGAAAAAAGAGTAGAGCTGTCTGCTTTAAGGAGAAAGCATGATAAAGGCACTGAAAACAGCAGAATTTATGGGATTTTAGCTGCTGGCAGCAACAAGGTAAGAAACTAGAGACTAAGTAAGCAGAGGGTTTGGAGCTAGTATAACAGATCTCACAGAACTTGTGCAAAATTATCTGTTTTCAAAATTAAATAGATAGCATATTCTCTCACGGAGCCCAGCCCGAGATGGGTTCACCACAGCAACAAGGGGTTGGGCATCCTCCCACGATGACAGGAGTTGTGGTAACACAGCCTCTGCCTTTCCACCGTGAAACTCACAGTTTGAAATTCCTGTGAAGCAAAAAAGAAGTGAGCAGAGTCAGTCTCACCAGATGTGAGGTATAACATGAAGTACCGCCCTTTGCTGTGTGGAGGTAACTTGTTAGGATCCCTCCACTCACTTCTGCTTCTGATTTTTCAGCAGTTAGTTTGAAACTTTCTGCCACGGCAAGTTTGAACTCACCATTGAATGCTGCATTCCACCTGGCATCCTCTATTGCCTTCTCCACCACCTCAATACCAATAATCTTGGACACTTGGTGGGCCAGAGAGAGACCAATTGTGCCTGGAAGTAAGGAATAGAAAAATAGTCCTTACAACCATTCTAAACAAGTGTTTAGATAGCGGGAATTGTTTTTGGCATGTGAAGCACCGGCCCTGGGAGCCAGGCTCACATGGTCACTGCTCACCCGTTCCACAGCAGATGTCAAGGAGGACAGTGTCCCCACCAGCCTGACTCAGCTCCCCGACCGCCTGATACAGAACTTCTGCTCCACCCGTGTTTACTTGGAAAAAGGCATCCGGAGAGATGCGAAACTTCAGGCCAAGCAGTTCTTCAAAGATGTGCGGTTCTCCGTGAAGGAGCTGGAAGGGGGACTGCTCGTGGGAGCAGCGTGTCATGGTGCTAGCAGAGCACAAAAAACCCAGCTGTTACAAGGCAGCGGAGAGGCAGCTGATTTCCATTTCCATCCCTGGGGTGCTCATGTGCAGGGGACGATGGTTGTCCCTCCACCAACTTTTATTTCATGTGAGCTTTTCAAGAGGATCAAGGAATTTTGATTCTTTGTAAGGGACCAGTAATTTGCACAGCCTAGAATTCATTAAAAGGATCAAAATGACTTCACAGAAGGCAGCAGTCCTGGGTCTATTCCCCAGTTTTGCTGCTAATGATATTTACTGTCTTGGGAAAGTCACTGTAGGTTTTTTTCTTTAGCTTTCCAGGCCCCTAACTCCCATGAGGTAGAGCCATAGTGTATTCAAGTATTTCAGGTCTAGAAAAACAAAAGATGTGGTCATTTTAAAACCACATCTACAAGAAGCATCCAAGCATCTGTCATTCTCTTTAATCATTTCCTGAACTGGTAGAATTTTAATTTGATCAGAGAGGGGGGAGAAAAAGGAGGTGGCTTCGTTTCCACTCCTTCCCTATGTGAAGGCATATACCTCTCTTGGAAATAAAGTGAAGTCAAGGCACAGACTGTTCCAGCCCCACACGTGAAGAACTCCTTAAGCAATGCTTTCTGAGTAGCCAGTGCCTCCTGTCAAGAGTGAGAAAGGAAAACCTGATGTTCGGGTAATCTGATGAGACGCCTCTCCCCAGTGATACACCCAGAAAGCGCAGGTCAGCCAGATACCTGACACGCCTCTTGCCAGGGGCCCTGTCCCCCACCTACTCACCTGGCCCAGCTCCTGGGGGTGGAAGGTAATGATAGCCATGGTGTGGCCGCAGCTGGTGGTGCGCACCAGGAGCTCCCGCCAGTGTCCACCTTCATGGAAGAGGATGCAGGGGTCCAGGGGGGAGTGACGGATGAAGTCCTCATAGCACTGAGCAGAGAGGAAACGGCACTTGTAGGACAGCGAAGACAACTGCCCAGGTCTTAGCATAACTGTATGTCCCAAACGGGTGGCCCTTCCACCAGTATCATCTGTTTTTTTCTGTTTGACTTCAATATACTGAGTGAAAGCTCTTTCCGAGTTCTTGGAAGAACAATTATTGGAAATAATTTCAATTTGTGATTCTTATGTATTTTAATAGATTGGCAGGAATTCACTGTCACTTGATTAACTTAATTCTTTGGGACAGTTTAGAGGCTGCAACATTAACATGCAAGTTTAAAAAAAAAATTTATCCATCAACCTGAGTCAGGCCTGAAACTTTTCAGAACATGAAAATGGACTTGAAAACCCAGCATAACTAAAATTACAATGTTCTCCCAAATAAGGGTTATGGCAGTCCCTCTATTCCAGAGTCTAGGAACAGACATGATTTATTTACCTGGGCTACTTGTTTGTGTTTTGGGGGTATGTTCTCCAGGTGGTTGGCTTTCACACAAACAATATTTCTTGCTGGAGAGAGACAGACAGGTATTAGGAAAGGAGCCAGCACAGAGCCAACTGGTTTTCTAACTGGAGAATAATGGTGTGGGCTTACAGCAGCAAAGCAGTTTAGGTTGCTGGAAGACAGCATTCCCACTTCAGTTTAAATGCAAAACTTCTGCTGTCAGAGGTGAAATGCATCCATGGAATTATTTTTTTCATGAGAAAAGTACACAGCGACCACCCCAGCACCTCTTGCGATGGATGTTGAGAAGCAAAACCCAGTATTGATGGTGTGAACAAGCACACCACTGAGCAGCTTGCAAGAAGCACACAACTCTCATCCTTGTTGCACAAAACCAAACCGCCTCACACATCCCAAATGCTCCAGCATTGCTCTGCTGCCTATGGACATGCACAATCCCCATGCTCTCCCTGCTCGGCACAGGCTCCTGGAGCACAAAGGCATGGGAACAGCATAATTAAGAATAACAAAGCCACATCCTGGAGGGGCTGCTACCACAGCTTGTCGTCCTTACTGCTATATTTAGCAAATTAGAAGCTGGTGTTTTTTAAGAAGCTAATGAGCTGAGTTTTTAAAATTGCTGCCCTGGACTTAGTGGTGTTTCTGTTGGCATCCTCCCGGATTCAGGCTTCTAACTCAGGTGGAGGCTGTCACAGCAGAGCCTTGCCCCAACCCAGCCCATGCCAGCAGTTTTCTACTCAGCTCCTTGTCCTGCACTGACCTCTGCCAGTTCCCACATACAACCCCACGGTTTTGGGGTTCCCATCCGGTCCTCGGTTCACAGAGAAAGAAGATTTGTTTCGGTAGCCATTAATGATGGGCTGAGGGGGAAAAAAAGGAAAAGTAAAGCCTTGGATTAAAAGAAAAGGAGAAAGTAATGGAGGAAAGCCAAAACCCAGCCTGGCTGTTCTGTTGGCAACATGGGAAGATACACATGAATGTGCAAACCACAGAAAAGGAGCTTGTGCACGAGACGCCCAGTACTTCCCCTTGGGAAGAAGTAGTGGCGCTCTGTGACAGAATGGTGACAGGTTTATCAGGGAAGGCTTGGGCACAAAAAAGGATTCCTAATCACTGGGCTTGTTTCACTCTCCAGCAGTCACAGGCTGCAAAGCAGAAGCTAGCAAGGACTGCCAGAGACACATTCTCTGCAACCAAGTAATCCCCACCATGAGACTCTTCAGGAGTTGAGTGAAAGACTGTTAGTGGCTCAGAGGGGACAGCATTCCCATGGGATACTCACCGAAGGGACTACAGGCTGGAGAGGACAGCAGACTCCACCAGGTTTCTGTGCATCTATGCCCAGCTCCTCAAGACGAGATGTCAGTGTCTGCAAAATCTTCCTCTGGCTTTCATATTTCACCTGCAAAGGAGTCCTAAGCCAGAAACACTCTCACAGGACCACACAACATCACCCCCCTCTGGGAAAGCCAACAGGAGGGAATACTGCAAGTGGGATATAGCCCCAGAAGAACTCTGCCTTTCTTATCACGGCAGCCACTTGGAGCAATGGGGAGAGAGAGAAATCCTGTGTCTGTGGTCCCCAAGCACTGGCCTTGGAGCACTTGGTCTAACCTGAAGCCCCAGTGAACCACAGCTAACCCACACTGGACAGGATCACTGTGCAAGTCCCCATCCTCTGTGCTGTTGGTGATCCCACACACCACCCATAGGGAAGCTCCCAGTTCTATCCTTCACCATAACTGAAGAATTAAAGCAGGAGTAAATGGGGTCTGAAGAGTTTATAGCATTAAGTGACTAAGAAGCTAGAGGCTGTTGCTCAAGGGGGATAGGAGGGACAGCTGGGGCAACACAACAAAGAAAAGTTCACATAAGCACGTCTTACCTGCAGCTGCTCTTGATAGGATAGTCTCCACAGTGGAGTCACTGCGTTCGCTAACCTGGAAAGCATAATATCGTGGTAGTGCCCAGAGCTACTCACCTCCTGATACTTATGGCATAACATCCCCACCACCTGCTTCATGGGCAGGACAGTTCTGGTACGGGCTCTGTACCAGAGCTGGCTGTGAACACCCAAACTCCCTTTTCATAGCACTTTCCTGGTGCAGAATACTTGTGGCTGGAAGAGGGACCCAGGAAACACAATGACCAGCTCTCCAGAGGACAGGCTGAGCCTTTGGCAGAAGATTGAGCAGCGATGCCTGGGTGTCCTGGGTAAGCCAGGTATCTTTCTGATCCCCCTTTAGAGGACAGGGCCAGGAACACTGTTTCCCCTGCACAGGGACCCAAAGAGGCCCTGCCAAATCCTGGGTGAGATCTGACTCCAGGCCAGTAAAGCGAGGGGAATGAGTATTCAAATGCTACTGGGGTCAGAGTGGAAAAAAAAACAAAGCAAAACAAAATGCAGACAGACAAGGGGGAAAAAAAGACCATGTTTTAGCTTCAGATGGGCTCTGTTGCTTTCTCCCAATGAATCAGAGGCTTTGGCCATCCCTTGCTGCTCTGAGTCTGCCCAAGTCCCATCTCCCTGGAGTTTTCCCCTAAAAGAGCAAGATGCTTCTCTCATCACTTGATGCATCCATCCTGCATCATTTACCTGTTCACATTTCTAGCCACTACTACCTCTTTTTTACTAATGCTGTACTAGATTAAATCTACCACAGTGAAATGCAGCTTATGTGTAGCAGGCAGGGAATTACAGATTGTCCACTCTCACTGACCTGGCCACTCATGCAGCGGCAGTTTACAGATAAGCCTTGAAACTTGCCACTACTTGGATCTGAGGCAGGGTGACCAAGAACAAAACACAAAAAAGCTGATAAAAAAAAAAAAAAAGACAGAATGTGATGGATATGATCCAAACTATCATAACTATCCATCAACTACTGACTCACTGAGTCCATGGAGAACCTCACCCCACAGCTGGATAAACTGCTGTTATTGCTTCCTGGGATGTTTGGAGCTGCTTCTAAAGCACTCTGTGCTAACTACTTTCAGGCACAGAAGTGCAAATCACATGGACTATTACTTTTTGCTTGCCAGTATGGTAACCGCTCTGCCCCTGATCCTTTCCTCTTGGACCTCTTAATTTGTCTTTTCTATTATTTCTATCCCCAGGCCAAGCTCCAAGGGAAGCCAGCTGAGCTCTGGCTCTTCTATTCCTACTGGGGAGAGCTGGGTGGAGGTAAAACCCCCAACCCACTGCTCTAACCACTTCAGGTGCTTGGTGCTTTGGAAGAGTGCCTGGTCATTTTGGAAGAGCTGTACCTCTCCTCCCACGAGGAACCTGGCAGGCTGCAGTCCTCCTTGGCCTTTTTTTTCTCCTTCAACTTTGCTGTTGTCTTCTTCTCCGTCAGCAGGCTGCGGTCCCGACCGGGCAGGCTGCTCAGGAGAGCACTGGAAGAGTGAAGGTGCCGGCACGGTAGCCTCAATGTACAGGACAGAGCCATGATGGGAAGGAGAAGGGCTGCAGACCTGCAACCGGCACAGCGAGCCCACCGTCAGCCTCCCAGAAAGCAGCACGTCAGCTACGCACCTGGAGCCAAGGCGAGAAAAACACCATACTCGTGGCCAGCTCCGCTCCAGAAAGTAAATCGCTTAGTTTAAAAATATCCACGGCAGGTCTGAGCTAGCGGGTGCGTTTTGCCTTTGCTCGGAGCGCCGGGGACGCTGCCGGCAGCGCAGCGAGTGCCGCTGCCCCGGGCCGGCGGGGCAGCGCGGG